GTGTTGTGAAACATGATCAGAGCTTGTTTATCTTCTAATGATTGCCAGAACAATGTATTATCATGAATGATGACACATCTTCTCATACACTCTTGATTGTTTCTCTTCTCAGTGGGTTCCTGATTGTGTTTTCTGACATGATTTTGCATGAATGCAGATGCTGATATGTTTGTTTTTATTTATGTAGAATCATCACACATTGACAGATTCACATCTGCTGATGATAGTGAACCCAATGTTGAATCATTGATTGAGAACTTGGAGGACGCGATAATGGAGGAATTGTCCATGTCATGTGTGACTGAGTCTCCTGCATCTCCCTCTCCTCTCTCTGTTCCTTCCTCTGCTGCTCCCCCTCAATCTCCTACACCTGCCTCTGTGTCTGATTCTCCCGCTCCTGCTACCCCTGTTCCCATGATCCTCACTCCTGCCACTCCTGGTTTTGCTGCCTCTGCTTTTGTTATCAGCTCTCCCCGATTCAAGAAGATGTTGTGTAGACTTAATAAACCATGTCTCTCAGCATGTACACTCCCACTCTTCTTGTCAACTCTCAGAATGATTTATTGCATGAAGACTGCATATGACATGACTATCTGAAGCTCAGTCACAGATGCTGATTATTACATTCATTTTAAATATTTGTGATAAGACAATCATTCATTCATATCAGAGAATCATCTCTCTTCTTAACAGTGTTGAGATTATGAGTCTTTTTCTTTTCATCTTTTCAATCTGACACTGATTTTCCTGTTCTTAGAGGAAATTGTTATGGGTTTTGCTGTGCATGAAGTCATGGCATTCACAGACATCAAGAAGCTTTTTATAATTGTAAAGTTCAACATTGCAGAGATATCTGCTCTGATGAATTCCTTCAGAATGATCAATCTGTATCAGTCTATTCTCTGGCATCTGTCATCTGACTTCATGGTGCAGGCGAAAGATATCTGTGTTTTCAGGAACAGGAACACAGATGTTGTACTCTTTTACACCCGCAGGTGTGAGGCTCATACACCTTGTCTGAGGTGTTGTCATGGGAATGAGCTGTTCACATACTGTGTTCTGCTTCCTGCATTTCTCTGTGTCCTTCTCTCTCTTTCTGAGAAGTCTCATGCGTGTTGTAATTGCATGTATAATTCTAAGGTCAGTGAGTGTTCATTCAGTAACTGTTCTCACTTCTGATTTTGTGATTTTCATACACTAATAATGATTCTTAGTTGCTTCAGTGTCAGAGGTCATTCTGATCAAAGATGATAACACTGCTGAGACTATCTTCTTCTGTTTTCAAGCTTCTTCTGTTACTTTCTCTCTCTCCCCTGCAGGGAAGGTTGTGCACACATCAGGTTATAAGTGTTCAGCCCTGAGTGACTCCTGTCATTCATCTGGTCCTGCACCTTCTCCTTCTTCTGTTTCTTTCACCTCTGCTCTCCCTGCCCTGGCTCCTGGTCCTGCAGGTCTTGCACTCTCCTCCAATTTCTCTACACGTACGCGTGTGCATTTCTATATTGACATTCCAGCCAATCTTGCAATCAATGACATTAATGTTGTATGCAGAGTGATAGAGGAATCAGAGACATACACAGCATTGTTGCAAGAGTGACTTGCAACTCTCAAATCTCTTGTGAATCTTGAGTTTTGAGATTTCCTTTGTTTTTGATATTTTTCAGGTGGTGTGACATTGAAAATAGATTAAATGTGTGACATATGAAAATGAATGAAGTGTGTATGATAACATTTGTCTTTTGCAGTCAACTCTTACAGTTGATGATCAATTCATCATCTCTTTTCTTACACTTTTTCTCTATCTGCTAGTCACTACTCTTACACAATCTCTATATAATACAGTGTTCAGTGACTAGGTTCAGCAGCTTCTAACTTTTTGTAATTCTGTCTCATGCATTATACTGTCTCTCTTCACCCACTCAGACCACTACAGTGAACAGCTCATCAAAACTAATCTCACTCAATCTCTGAGCATTCTCAGAAGTCAAGATGACTTGGTCTCATGTGTCTGCAGATGTTTCAGATAGTTCATCCTCTGTGATCTCTGCAATTGAACTGATGTAAACAGTCAAATTCAACTCTGAATTCCTTTTTCTTCTGCAACCTGACTCATGTGCAAGTCTGCTGCTTTGAGATCACTCTTTGCCATGTTGCATCTGCTGTCTATGATGTGTTATCATACAATCAGCTACAGTCTCATCACTTATTGAAGTGTGATATTTATCTGATTTCTTCATTTCTTCTCATTCTTTTCTTATAATTGTGAAAAGGTCAGAATAAGTGAGATCATCTGATTCATAAGTGTCTATGATTTCTCTTACTTCATGAGACTTTTCAATTATAAGTCTCTTCTTTTTCAACACTGACAATAGTGCTGTGAATGATCATAATTCACTCAGATCTTGCATCTTTACTTTCACAAGTCATGAATCATTGATTAAGTTGCATAAGATCTGTCCCTCTGATTCTTCCAATGTGTACATTCTCAGAGAATGTGATTTGAGTATTTTATATGACTCAAACCATCTAGGTTGGAACTTCTCAGAACTCTCATTGTATACAAGAACTCACATTTTCATCTTAAGACTCAATTTCTTAACAAGTGAGTCTCATATTCTTTTCAATTGAATTGCTCAGTTCAGAAGTAACTTATTAGCTTTTGCATGTGTGTGGCTGATCTCTTTCAATCTTAGTTCTGCATCTGTGACTGTTGTGTCTGCAACTGCTGTTTCTGCTGTGTCTGCAACTGCTCTCTCTCTCACCTTTTCTGAAATATTCTCCAGAATGCATAGATGCAATTCATACAACAGATAGAATGATGAACACTTGAAGACTGCATGCTGTCAAATCCGCATGGTCAATAGCATCTGTCTGAGATATTCATTTCATAGTCTTGTAGGCTTACTCACTAGATATTTTATCAGCATGTTACCCAAGATTTCATTCAAGCATTTCATCTTCTCATTCATTCATGAGTGATATGATGTTGTTCTACAATGTCTTGTCTGTAACTGACTCATGAAATGCCTCATCACTTCTTCTACAAGATTCACACTGTTATCAGTTAGAATCTCGCGCGGCATTTCATAGTTGACATAGATCTCATCATGTAGGAACTTCACCATCACCTTCTCTGTCATCTCTGAAACTGCTCTCACAACTGGCCAGCCAGTAGCATAATCAATAGCAGTGATTATTCATCAATTTCCATTTGATGTTCGCAGCAATATGCCTATGAGGTCCACCTCTCATCATTTAAACAGTTGTATTGTACACTCTATCTGATGTTGTACTTCCTTGTATTCTAACTCTTTCTTAGATTCTTTCACAACCTGACAATTTGAGCACTTGTGAGCATACACCTGAATGTCCTCAGCCATGCTTGATCAGTATACTCTTGATTCAAGTACACTCATGAGTTCAGAGCTTCCTAAGTGGCTGAATTCCTTGTGCATGTGAGTCATCAAGTCACATCTAAATAAAGATTCTAGATAGGGAGCTTCTGTGTATTCTAGATCATGATAAAGCACAACATCATTTTCATTTCTCAATTTCCTCAGCTTGAAGTTCAGAAGCATCTCTTCTACTACTCTTATGAGATGCTTGTCATTCAACACCTTGCCATTCTTCAAGTAAGAGATCATGATGTTCACTCATTCTGATTCCTTGCATCCTCTCAGTGTGTTTAACACAAATGTCTCTTGTGCCTGGTTCACAGGACCCTCATTCATGAAATTGAGTCTGTGACTGATTGTGTCCAGCATCACTGTGTTCAATCTCTTTCAGTATTTAATATGAAGATTATACACTTGAAACTCTGAGATTCAACATGCTAAGCATTTGAAAGATTTTGTTATTGATTGTAGATAGACAAGGCTTTCATGATTCATGATCACTGTTATTGTATATTCATTGTCAATATATCTATCTCATAACACCAGTGTGTGCTTGATTGCTAGCAATTTCTTTTCATACACTGAATAATTGAGCTCAGCATCTGATAGTTTCCTATCATCATACATCACTGAGTGCAGCTTGTCATTCTTGTTCATCTGTAGAAGAGTGTCTCTGATAGCTCATTCAGATGTGTCTGTCTCAATGTAGAAAGGTTTATCATGATCTGATTGAATAAGCACTGAGAATGTTGTTACACATTCTCTCAGTGTGAGAAAAGCCTCTTCACACACAGCATTTCAGATGATTGAATGAAACTTCTTCTTTCACAGATTTGCATTCATTTCTCTTAAGAGATCTGAGAGTGATACAGATATTCATGTGAAATCCTTGATGAATCTGCAGTAGTATGAGACCAACTCAAGAAACTGTCATACATGATGTACATTTCTCAGCTGCAGTCAATTCACTATGACATTCAATTTCTCTGAGATGAGGTGTATACAGTCATCACTCACTACATATCTCATGAACTTCAACTCTTCTATTTCAAATACACACTTGATTGATTTGACATAGAGCTTATGCTCTGTCAGAGTTGTAAGCACTTTATCAAGATGCTTCAGATGTTTGTTGTATGAGTTTGAAAAGACTAGAATGTCATCAAGATATATGAGGCATGAGGTTTCATTCTGTTTATGAAGAATTGTATTCATCATCATTTGAAAGATGACAGGCGCATTTGTCAGACTGAATGACATTGCTAGGAATTCGAACTTCTCTCATTGCATATTAAATGCGGTTCACAGAACTGACAGTTTGTCTATGTGGATCTGCCAGTATTCTGAGAGAAGATTGATCTTTGATAGATATCAGGTGTTTCTGACTGTATCCAACTGTTGTTGAATCTGTGGCAGTGAATATTCATTCTTGATTGTTAGCTTGTTGAGTGTTCAATAATTGATACACATTCATCACTCTTCACCTGCCTTTTTCATGAATAGAACTGGAAAGCCCCACGCGCTTGATGAGGGTTGTATGAGACCACATTCTAGAAGATCTGTGATCTGACACTTCTGTTCTTCAAGGTGTGTTTGTGACAGAGGGTATGCATTCTGGTTGACTGGTTTTGCATCCCCCATGTCAATCTCATGTACAAATCCTCATTCCAGTGGCAATTCTGGTGGAAGATCTGTTCAGAAGACCTTCTCATGCTTCTTCAGAAGCTTCTTCATACACTTATCCTCCTGCATATCTTTTATCTTGGTTTTCTCCACTTCCGGGTCCTGTATGACATACAGGATGCTTTCAGATGAGGTCTTGCAAATCATTCTCTTTGCTTGTTAATGTATAAGCAGATTTAACCCTTCTATACCAGGGGTGTGAAATGTCCTTCTCATATCAGTTGATAGGATCATATGAACCATTTTCTTTCTATCAGTCAACTGCATATGATATGTACATCATTGAATCTGCGGATTGAACCTTTGGAATCAATCAAGTCTAAGAATAAGGTCATATTCCATGTTCTGCAGCTCTCGCGCCCAAATATAGCAAGACCATTCTTCAAAGTGCAAGGAAACTCTTACTTTTGCAGGTGATATTAAATATCAGTTATCAGATAATCTTATGCATCAGGGATCCTTCACTCAGTGAATCCCTTTCAATCTTTGAATTATATAATCATCAATATATTGCATCAAAGCTTCTGTATTCACTAACACTTTTGCAGTCATCTCTCAATTCTTATTCAAGTGCTTCTTATACATTAACATTTCAGGCCTCAAGGCATTGAGATGAATGTTCACTTCATCCTCACCTGCATCTCAGTCAGGAGCCTGCTTCTTCTTTGCATTCACAGAATTCAGAGAGTCATCTAACACAGGCATCTCTTTCACTTTGAAGGCTTTTCATAGAATATCAGCAAGTGTCTTCAAGCTCACTGATTCTGCTAGTTTTTTGACTGTGTATGCTGAGTGCAATCTTTTACATCATGATTTTGACATCTGCAGTTGAAACAAGCTCAATGCTTACAACACCAAGGTTTCCACCCAGGGGATCTCTTTTTCAGGGGATTCGGTGCTTTAGTGATGACATTCAGATCTAGATTCATCACATTCAGATATGTGACTTGTGTCATAGAAGTCTGATTATCTGTTCTCTGCTGAGGCATACTCAATTACAGTATTTTCTGTCACAATTGACTCACTTGTTCCTGTATGATGAGGATGTTGTATACTTCTTTCACTATACCTGGTTACAAGGTTAAGCATTTTCATTCCGCTCTCAACTCAGGTGTAAGATCATGAATGAAGATCTGTAAACAGAAAGATGTTGAAAGCTCTTCATTCAATGTGAGATAGTGTAAACTGAAGTGTGTGAAGTATAATGTAAGATTGCTCACTTGTCTACACTCAGTGAAGTGTTTGTAATACTTGTCTCACACATTCACTTT